CCCGACTCCGCCCTGACTCCGGCTCTCTTGGCCCAGCAAAAGGAGGGAGGGCTCTCTCTCTCTCTCTCTCTCTCTCTCTCTCTCTCTGTGTATTTGCTTGTACGAAGCCTTAATCCCAAAGTGATTTTACAATGGGATTAAGATAGCAAGTAAACATATCCAATAACAACGAAACAGAACATGGAGTGCACTGCAGAGGGTGACTAACACGAACATCTTCCCCAGCACATGCCAGCCAGGAGAGGCACCGCCACCTGGCCCAGAGTGGCAGAAAGGCAGGCCTCTGTGCCTCTGTCCAACAGGTGAAGACTATGCCGGCCTTGGAGGGATGTATTCCCCAGCCACTGAGGCAGCCTGTTTCCAAGATCCCCAAGAGGATCACATTCTACAGCTAACATCTGGAGTGTACCAACTTATCCAAATCTTCTACTCAGCCAGAAATGATGGACCTGGAGGTAACCAGGTCCTGAGTCCTGAAGGGCTTTGTAGAAGACAACCTGGCGGAGCAGCCGTGTTATTGAGACCCCCAGAGCAGTTGAGGCATGGAGCTCCTGCTGCCTCCGTCTTTGGAAGAAGTCCAAAAGTGAGAAGGAATCTTCCATGGCAAATTGGTTCACATCTGGGATACGGGGAACCGTCTGCTGCTCTCTTGGCTGCTTCCGAAGTGCGTTGCTGGCCACCAGCTTGGTTGGCTTCACAGAAGAGTTGGCTGAATTGATGGGAGTCCTGAGGATCAACAGCTATTGGCCTGGGTGGAAGGGAGCCTTCCGAAGGCCATCCTCTGGGGCAGCAGGAGGCTTCTTTGGGCAGGCACTGGCCCTGGGAGAGCCGAGGAGGAGGGCCAGGGGTCTGGTCCAGCAGGGCGCAGCTTCTCTTCTTCATCTTAAACCTTTCATCTGGTTGAATGGCACCAAAGACCCACCACCAGGTGTTGACCGGGCTAAACCCAACGGCCGCCTCTCTCCGTGCCAATGGCACAAGCGTTTGCAGGCATAACAATCCCTTGGGATTTGCAAGGTTCCACACCAGGTCCTTCCATTTCAACTGGCAGAGCAGGAAGGGCAGGAATGGTGCTTGGGGAGGGGGCACCAAACGGGAGTCCAGCATACAAATTCTGCTGGCTGCAGTGAAGGGCCACCCCCCCCCCCCTGCTTCCATCCCAAGCCTTTAGTGACCGGGAGACGTGGCCCAGCCCAGCCTGTTCAGTTTGGGGAGATGGACACCTCTACGGAAGGGAGAATGGACAGGCAGCCTTCATACAGTAGGAAAACGGGGTGATTGAAGGGCTTCCAGAGACTTTTGGGGGGGGAGTTGAGGGACTGCATGTGCACGTCTCCTGTTGCAGCCTGTAATCACTCCCCGTCACTCCCCACAATTAGCCCGGTTTTGTGTCACTCTGGATGCAGCTGGCCTCCGTGTGCTGTGGCTGGGCTGCTGCTCCCCCCACCTCCCGCCTTCCCAAGGGGGCTCTTGTCCTTCCCTGGCTGGAGGAGGAATTCGGCTTCTTTAGGGAAGCTCTGGAGCCTTCCAGTAACACAAAGACCAGCTCAAGTGGGCTTCGGGATGCAGCCAAGGAAGCCGGGGGGGGGGGAGAGCAGGGACTAAGCTGATGGCGGATTTGGGCTGGATGCAAAGCCAACCACCATGGCCGGCCTGCTGGCCCAAGAGACGTAGGTGACCAGAGCTCCCAGGCCAGGGACCTCCTTGCCCTGCAGCAGGGAGGAAGTAAGGGGGGAACAGCAGGATAAATTGCCCAGAGGGCTAACGGGTGGCCTTTCTAGAGAGCCCTAACCTCTCCTCAATACTATGGCCAGCTGGTGAAAACGCACTGGCAGGATTTCTATTAGTGAGGATCTCTCAACAGCCGTGTTGGGGGTTGGGGGCCGGGGGCCGGGGTTGGGGGTTGGGGATTGGGGGGTGTATGTGTTTGAGGATGGCAGTTGAGCCCCCACCCCAATAAACCAGAGGAGAGGTTGAACAGATTGAGCTGAAGGTGGAAGGGCCCGTTAGGGTCCCCTCTGATTTCCTAACTGGTTTTGCCGCTTTCCGTCTGTCCTGAGGCAGCCAAGGGTGGGGTGGGGGCTCTCGGCTGAATTTCCCTTCCTCATGAGCTGCAGCCAGTATCAAAGCTAGGCTGGCACTCACAGCGTGCGTCCCCCATCCCCCGCACGAGGCAAAGTCAAGCCAGGTCTTTCTGACCGATTTCCTTGGCATCAGACCAGCGCCCGTCTCCCGACCTTGAAGCGGAGACCTCCAGGGCCCTTTCCCTGGGCTGGCCGCCCACAGGCACCTGCATGCCAGCCGAAATCCTTTTGTGGTGAGGGGAGGCCCCCGGAAGGAAGCCAGCCTCCATTTGCTGCAGTGCAGCCCTTCCAGAACTCTCCTTCTCCACCACTTTGTGGTTGGGGAGTCTGGTGGATTTTCAGAGGGATCCTCAAGAGCCAATTTCAAATCAGTTCAGCCCAGAGCAGAGAAAGTGTCTCCCTCCTGCTCCAATTATTGAATCGTTGACCTCTGCATTTTCAAAGGAAGTCGGCCAACTTTGTGGAGTCCTGGAGAACTTTCGTTCTTGCAGGAAAGTCAAGTAAAAAAGGAATAAAAATAGACAAATAATTGTGGTGCTCTCTGAGTTTGCTT